TTGACTTGCGTGACTTATCCGCCACCAACTTGGGTTCAAGCTGCCAGTGTGTACTTTATAAATGGCTTTATAAAGCAGTGTGTACTTTATAAATGGCTCCACCTGCCACCCGTACAGCAACACAGTCTCCAGTTAGGAGGACCAACCAAGCATCTTCTTCCATCCGCCTGTTACAGAAATTACTGCCGTGTACACGACCACTGATAGGAGACGCGGAAGGTATTAAACTGATAAAAATAGTACTAAACACACCACTCCTATCTGGTGTCACATTAGCTTGACAGCGCAGTGCCCCAAATTTGCAGTAAGAGGACCGACCAAGCCTCTTCTTCCATCTCCCTGTTACAAAAATCAATGCCGTGTACACGTCCACTGATAGGAGACGCGGAAGGTATAAAACTGATAAAAATAGTACTAAACACACCACTCCTATCTGGTGTCACATTAGCTTGACCGCGCAGTGCCCCAAATTTGCAGTAAGAGGACCGACCAAGGCTCTTCTTCCATCTCCCTGTTACAAAAATCAATGCCGTACACGACCACTGATAGGAGACGTGGAAGGTATTAAACTGATCAGAACAATACTAAACACACCACTCCTATCTGGTGGCACATTAGCTTGACCGCAAATTGCCCCCAAATTCTGTGTGCAAGAGGGATCACCTCAGTTTCTTCTTCCATCTCCCCTCGCTATTAAAAATCAATGCCGTGTACAATGCCCACTGATAGGAGACGAGAAGGTATTAAACTGATAACAATAGTACTAAACACACCACTCCTATCTGGTGGCACATTAGATTGCACGCGCAGTGCCCCAAATTTGTTGTGATCTGAGAGTAAGGTAAACGGTTGTCATACAAGTAGGTTGCAGCTTTTTGAGGGCCCACACCACCGCTATGCACTCCTTTTCAATGGCAGTGAATATACTTCACTGTGTAAAAGTTTACGGCTTAGATAAAAATCACGCCGTACACGCCCACTGATAGGAGACGCGAAGGTATTAAACTGATCAGAACAATACTAAACACACCACTCCTTTTTTTTGGTGAGGCTTTACAGGACAGAGTGCTTCTCCACGGGACATGTTAACTCACGGGCAGCTGGCTCATCAAGGAACCACAGCAGCTTCCATGTACAGGTAAGACACGTGCAGCCGGTAAGGGTTCAGGCTCTTCTTCCTGGAGGATACGCTGCAAGCCTGTTGAACGAGGTGACCTTGCTCGGGTCCCAGGTGTACGGGTCCTAAAATGGCTGCCATATACACGTCCACTGATAGGAGACGCGGAAGGTATTAAACTGATCAGAACAATACTAAACACACCACAAATATGGTTTCTCTCCTGTATGGCCTCAAATGATGCTTAAGATTAGAAGCTGCTGAAAAGCATTACACTCCACTTTGAAACTAAATGACGCTTGGGGAAGAGATTAACAAAACACAGGCAAGTGGCAGTAAAAATACAGTTTTTAGCCATACACTGTAACTTTAAAACTACACATCCCATCTTCATACCTCTCACATATTTGGAATCAGCACACTTAAAACATAAACATACCAAAAATCAGCCAAATCCATCCAGGGCATAAAAAAGTTAGCTGGAGGTCCTTTATGACCGACCGCTAGCACATTTTCCTGCCCAAAACAGTTCCATGAGGATTTGGGCTGTGAAATGGCCCATTTCAGGCTGAAAAAGCGACTAAGTCCCATCGTCGAATGGGACTTAGTCTCTGCAGCTGAAATAAGGCTGAAAAAAGCGGCTGAAAAAAAGACTAAGTCCCATCGCCGAATGGGACTTAGTCTCTGCAGCTGAAATAATTTCCCATTTACTGAACCAAGTGGGAAATAGCAAGGCAGGCACAAAGGGTTTGCACCAGGTCTGTGGACACAGGGGACACCGTCTTAAAGGGGCCGTGTCCCCAACAAGTCTGGGGACACGGCCTTAAAGGGGCAGTGTCCCAATCTTCCTGATGTCCCAAAAAGGTGTTTAAAGGGCCAGCACCAGTCACATAAAGAGTCCATAAGCCCCAATATGCCCACCGACAGTCTTAAAGGGCCATACACACCAAATAAAAGTGCATACATTTTCACAATCTCCCAGGGGCCATAGTCATGCGGGAGGAGGCTGGCAAGTAGGCTTCTCCACAACCCAGGGAAGCAGGGCAATTTGCCATTTAAAGGGCCCGTTACAAATAACAGTTTGTAACAAGGTGTCAATCCATATCTGCCAAGTGACCCGATGTAGGGGGAACAGTCCCTATTCTGCTCTGTGTCAGTGTGTATCAGGGATCCTTAGGACAGGTGTCAATCCATATTTGCCAAGTGACCCTATGTAGGGGACCAGTCTCTATTCTGCTCTGTGTCCGTGTGCATCAGGGGCTCTGAGGACAGGTGTCAATCCATATGTCAAGGTGTCAGTATGTCATATGTCAGGTGTCAATCCATATTGATTGTGATTTAGGAATGTTAGGTGATTTCTGCCCTTTATGGATTAAAACCAGACTCTGTATCAGCTGTGTAATTTTCCATGGGAGTTTTGCCATGGATCCCCCTCCGGCATGCCACAGTCCAGGTGTTAGTCCCCTTGAAACAACTTTTCCATCCCTATTGTGGCCAGAAAGAGTCCCTGTGTGTTTTAAAATTCGCCTCCCCATTGAAGTCAATGGCATTTCGGGCGGTTCGCCGGTTCGCGAACATTTGCGGAAGTTCGCGTTCGCCGTTCGCGAACCGAAAATTTCGGGTTCGCGACATCACTAGGGATAACCACACACGAGAAGGATTTGGGAATTGTTATCAACAACAAATTAGGCAGCAATATGCAATGTCAATCTGCAGTTGCTAAGGCCAGTAAGGTTTTGTCATGTATAATTAAGGGCATAAATTCTCGGGATGAAAATATAATTTTGCCTCTTTATAAATCGCTGGTAAGACCACACCTTGAATATGCTGTGCAATTTTGGGCACCTGTACTAAAGAAGGATATCATGGCACTAGAAAAAGTGCAGAGACGAGCTACAAAATTGATAAAAGGAGGGGCGGGGCCGGGCCGACTGGACGCCATAAGCATGGGCTCCAGCACTAAAACCCCAGAAAGAGCACTAAATACAGCCCCAGACCGCGTACAAATCAAATTCCTCGCCATCCATGTACCTTATCACATGATGGGCAGGCAGAGAGGGTGGGGCCCGGCCGGCAGCATGGCGCAGAGAACCGGTGTAACACGGAGATGCCTCACCACATGGCAAGCACTTCAGGCGCGGGGGAGCCCTCGGCCCGGGGCACGGCCCTGCCCCCCCCTCTCTGGCCGGCGGGTGATATCCAGGCCACATGGCCGCGACAGTACCACTGCTATCGGTAAAATGCATTGAATTAGAAACAAGGAGAAAATGTTGCCAGTGTAGCAGTATGTCCAAACAGACTTACCTTAGATATAAGTTACATCAAGTGGGCTGTAAATGGCACCTTAAAGAATAAGGAAGATATATATATATATATGCAGCAGCCTACTAGGGGTGTAAATGGCACCTTAAAAAATAAGGAATATATATATATATATATATTTATATATACGGATGTAGCGATTGTAGCCGTATTAGTCCAGTCATGTAGATATAAAAATCAGGTAACATTTGTATCGTGTAATACCTTTTTTAAAGGACTAACAGAATTTTTGACAAGCTTTCGGGAGAACCTCCCTTTCTCAAGTCTGAAGCATTTCTGAGCAAGACGATACATAGAATTCAAAGTTGAGTTGTGATACAGGGGTTAAAGTGACATGAGTGCAGATAAGACACAGGTTTGTTAGAAAATAGACACCATTCTTGCAGAGGGTCATAAATATATTTCTGAAGATCAGAGTGAGGGGAGAGAGGGAAAAAAAACAAGACCTCTAATTTCACCCAAAAAAACTGGGAAAACTTTTTGACTCGAGTATAAGACTAGGGTGGGAAATGCAGCAGCTACTGGTAAATTTCTAAATAAAATTAGATCCCCAAAAAATTACATTAATTGAATATTTATTTTGTGTATATAATGAATGCAGTGTGTGTGTATATAATGCAGAGTGTGTGTGTGTGTGTGTATGAATGCAGTGTGTGTGTATATAATGTAGTGTGTGTGTGTATGTATGCAGTGTGTAGTGTGTGCATATAATGCAGTGTGTGTGTGCATGAATGCAGTGTGTGTAGTGTGTGTGTATGAATGCAGTGTGTGTGTGTATGAAGGCAGTGTGTGTGTATGAGTGCAGTGTGTGTAGTGTGTGTGTGTATGAATGCAGTGTGTGTGAATATAATGCAGTGTGTGTGTGTATATAATGCAGTGTGTGTGTGTGTGTATGAATGCAGTGTGTGTGTATGAGTGCAGTGTGTGTATGTGATGCAGAGTGTGTAACCTTGGTGGGGGTGGGCATTTTTATTATTTTTTTTAATTATTATTATTATTTTAATATTAACATTTTTTTTTAAATATTATTAATATTTCATTTTATTATAATATTTGTGATGTATGGGCGGTTGGGCTGTGTATGAGTGTGTGAGTGTGTGAGTGTATGTATTGTATGTATTGTGATGTATGGGCATTGGGCAGTTGGGCTGTTGTTGGCTGTGAATGATGCACTTTACTTCCTGTTACTGTTGGCAGTTGGTGGAATGTTCCAGGGATTTGAAATGGCGGCTGCAGAAACCCTGTGTAACATGGCAGCAATATGAAGATCCTGTTATATATGTATTAATTGAGTACGGCCGCCACCTGACTACATGTTTCTCTTCGTTTCCGAGGAGGGACGCCTGCACCGATTCCGGCGAGTATATTTCTTCTATTCTTTCTAACCATTGCCCTGCTGTGGGAATTGTGGTTTGTTTCCAATACAGCGGGATCAGGGCTTTGGCTGCATTGAGGAGATGCTGGAGGATCGGTTTTCTGTAGGTTCCGATGGGGGCCGGCGTGGAATGAGGTAGGGCCAGTTTTTTGTCGAAGCTCCCTTCGTCTCCTATTATCTCTTTAGTTTTTAAGTGGCCATTTTCAACCAAAACCACTAGAGATAGCGGAGAGATTTAAATTCTATAAAAGAAGACAAGAGCCTGGTGAATCAGTTTCAGCATATGCCATTGCGTTACGGAAACTCGCCAGCACCTGCTGTTTTGGGGACTACCTGCCCACTGCTCTGCGAGACCAGTTTGTAATGGGCACTGCAAGTGATGCAGTGCTAAGGAGATTGCTTACAGAAGAAGATTTAACATTTAAAAAGGCAATGAACATGGCAAGCATTATAGAACAAGCCTCTAAGGATGCTAATCTATTACACAGCAGACTGGACAACCCACAGGAGGCAGAGCTAGACGTTTTAAAATTAGACGCTAGAGCATGGCGTATACCACAGGGAAAGAGACTTTCAAAATAGGAACATTCACATTACAAATGTTATCGCTTCGAAGCTGTTACACATGTTGCAACTACATGCAGATTCAAGGATGCCAAGTGTCATGCTTGTGGTAAAATGGGCCACCTACAAAGAGTGTGTAAATCCACAGCAGAGAGAGGCAGTAATTGTTTGAGAGACAGAGCAAAGAATGCCTATAGAGTACAAATGCAGGAGTATTATGAGGATTTGGATGAACAATTTCCTGTCCGAAATTTAAAAATATATAAAATAGGTTCTAATCTGGCTGCATTCACAGTTCAGGTTGTTGTAAATGGAAAGAAACTGACTATGGATTTGGACACAGGTGCAGCTGTATCAGTGTTTTCTTTGACAGACTGGAAATGCCTTAAAATACACAGGCCAATAATTCAGACAACAGCGAGACTGCAGACGTATTCTAAAGAGCTGTTAATACCAGTGGGTTGTGTGACAGTCACAGTTACATTCAACAAGTGTAAGAAGAAACAACCTCTCTATATCTTAGAAAATGGAGGACCTCCACTTTTTGGTAGGGAGTGGATAAGGGCTCTCGGCAGGGCCAGATTAACATAGGGGCTGATGGAGCTGCAGCTCCATTAAAAAAAAAAAGTTTTTTTTTACTTTTTAAATTTTTTTATTTTACACACTACTCTTAGGTTTGCCACCTGACTGGTAATTTACTGGCACAGATGATATTTGAGGATGCCTGGCCGTCTCCCCCATTGCAGTAATACCGGCAATACAAATGCAGATATTTTTCTCAGTATAAACAGAGATTACTCTGCAATACCAGCACCAGCCAGTAGGGGTCACTATGTGTGGAGAGAGGCAGGGGTAGGAAGTTACAGCATATCCCTCCCTACCTCTCTCTACTCACTAATCTGCGGGAGAGTTCAGACAGCAGCTCCCAGCCTGCAGAGACAGACTTCAGCTCAGGGAAGTGAGGGATGAGGGGAAAGGCAGCAGGGAAACAAGGGGACACTGAGACACTAGGGGACGCTGTGAGACATAGGGACATTGGGATACACATTGGGACACGGAGACACTAGGGACACAGTGTCTCCATGTCTCCCAGTGTCCTCATGTCTCCCAGCCAGTTTCCCTAGTGTCTCAGTGTCCCCATGGCTCCCAGCCAGTGTCCCTAGTGTCTCAGTGTCCCCTTGGCTCCCAGTGTCCCCTAGGCTCCCAGTGTCTGTGTCCCCATGTCTCTCATAATCCCCATGTCTCCACGTGTCCCCAAAGGTCTGTGTCCCCATGTCTCCCAGTGTTCACATGTCTCTCAGCCAGTGTCCCTAGAGTCTTAGTGTCCCCATGTCTCCCAATGCCCCTATGTCTCCCAGCCAATGTCCCAAATGTCTCAGTGTCCCCATGTCTCCCACTGTCCCAATGTCTATGTCCACAAGTGCCCCATGTCTCCCAGTGTCCCCAAGTGTCTCAGTGTCCCCATGTCTCCCATTGTCCCCTAGTCTTTCAGTGTCTGTGTTACCATGCCTCTTAGTGTCCCTAGTGTCTTAGTGTCCCCAAATGTCTCAGTGTCTCCAAGTCTCTCAGTGCCTGTGTCCCCACATCTTTGTGTCCCTAGTGCCTCTGTCCCCATTTCTCCCAGTATCCCCAAATGTCTGTGTCCACATGTCTCCCAGTGTCCCCTTGTCTGTATCCACAAGTGCCCCCATGTCTCCCAGTGTCCCCAAGTGTCTCAGTGCCCCCATGTCTCCCAGTTTCCCCAGGTCTCACTGTTTCCCCATGTCTCTCAGTGTCCCCTGGCATGGGGGACACTGGGAGAAATGGGGACACAGACACTGGGAGACTAGGGGACTGGGCAACATGGGGACACTAACACTGTGATACATAAGAACACTGATGCCAGGCTGGCCTTCCAATTTGTTGGACAGACATGCCCCTTTTTGGGGCATTTTCGCCCTTTTGGCAGTTCTGGTCACATGATTTGCGTCAGTGGCTCACCCTTTTACCCCGCCCATTGACTTCCTGCTTCACTGGACACTGCTGTTAGGGGGTATGGATTTACTTGAAAGATCCTTTGAGTTTCCCTCCAACACCATCTCCTTCAGATACATGACGCTTGAGAGGTATGACTGTTTTAGTGTTTTTGGTCGATAATATTCTGTAATTAGGCCCCATCATAATTGTCGGCACCAGGCCCACTGGGCTCTTAATCTGGCCCTGGCTCTCGGGATGCCTCAAGTGCATAAGCATCCATGTCATGTGTAGAATGAAAATCAGACCAGAGTTGACTGGATTAGGGAATTACAGGAAAAGTATGCACCAGTGTTTGATGGCCAATTAGGGAGTGTAAAGGGACAACAAGTTTCCTTAGAATTAAAGGAAGGAGCAACACCGAAATTTTTTAAAGCAAGAAGTGTGCCTTTTGTTCTAAGGGCTGGAGTGGAGGCAGAATTGAGGAGATTAGAGGAGCTGAATATCATCTCCCGGGCTCACAACAGTCAATGGGCTTTGCCCATTGTTCCTGTGAGAAAACAAAATGGGGATTTCCACATTGTCCTGTATCCTTTACATCTTCTTCTAGAGAGTAAACGACAATGGCGCTGGACAGTAGACTGTGCTACAGCTTTCCATAAGTCAAAAGAACTATTTCGTAGTTCATGTCTTTTAGTACACTATGACTTGGAAAAGCCTGTTTCCATTAGGCATGTGCATAGGGAAAATTTTCGGTTTGGTTCGGCATTCTGAAATTCGGGACTTTCGCAATTCGGGACTTCGGCAATTCGACACTTTAACACTTTGGAACTTCGGCAACTTCGGTAATTCGGCAACTTCGGCACTTCGACACTTCAGAACTTCAGAACTTCGGCATTTCAGAATTTCGGGACTTCGGCACTTCTATTGCAGCCGCTTAGTAGATAACTCCCTAATTCCCATGGTATTAGGGAGTTATCTACCATTTAGGTCTTTCAGCTAAATTTACTAATACTAAGTAAAAATTACTTAATAGTAATAGTAAATTTTAGTAATAGTAAATTTTGCCCCTGCTCGCTATACCATGAGTAGGGGCATGTCTAGTAAACAGTGAGCAGCCTGTTGCTGCTCACTGTTTTAAAAAAAAATAGGGTCCCTTTTCTCGAGCCCCCTGAGTGGCGGGTGGGGGCCTTAAAGTAAAATGATGGGGGGGACTTTTCGTCCTCCCCCCCGGCCCCCACCCCTGAGCGGCGGGTGGGGGCCCTAAATACTAATAAGGGGGGACCTAATGTCCTCCCCCTGAGCGGTGGATGGGGGCCCTAATACTAATAAGGGGGGGACCTAATGTCCTCCCCCTGGCCCCCACCACTGAGTGGCGGGTGGGAGTCCTAAATACTAATAAGGGGGGGACCTAATGTCCTCTCCCTTGGCCCCCACCCCTGAGAGGCAGATGGGGGCCCTAAATTGGAATAAGGGGGAGACCTAATGTCCTCCCCCCTGGCCCCCACCCCTGAGCCACAGGCTGCTCACTATTTAATAGACATGCCCCAACTCGCGGTATAGCGAGTAGGGGCATAATTTACTAATACTAAGTAATCTTTACTTAGTATTAGTAAATTTGGCTGAAAGACCAATTTAGGTCTTTCAGCCTTTTAGTAGATAGCTCCCTAATACCGTGGGAATTAGGGAGTTATCTACTTATTCATTCCTGTCATTACATTGACTGGCTAAGTAACTTACATTTTATATGAATGTATGTTACTTGATTGTTGTAAGTGTTGCAAATGCTTACAGCTGAATCCTGGCTATGTTTGTATACTTTTTATTTAAAATTGTATACAATGTAACATTCTTCTTCTTTCACTGGGTAATTATATTAGTACTTAGGCAATACTGTGCTTCGGAACGTCGGCACTTTGACACTTCGGAACTTTGGCACTTCAGCACTTCGACACTTCGGGAATTCGGTAATTTTGGAACTTCGGGACCTCGGCAATTCGTACATTCGGAAGTACCCGAATGTCCGAATTGCCTGAAATTCGTCCGAATTCACATTCGGACCGAAACAAATTGCACATGTCTAGTTTCCATTGCTTGTGATGCATCACCTTACGGACTGGGAGCAGTCCTGTCTCATTCCATAGCTGATGGGACAGACAGGCCAGTGGCTTTTGCCTCTAGATCGCTCACAGCTGCAGAAAAAACTATTCTCAAATAGATAAAGAGGCTCTGGCAATAGTATGGGCAGTAAAGAAATTCCATCTTTATATATATGGTTGACCTTTCACACTGCTTACGGATCATAAACCTTTATTGACAATTTTTAACCCACAGAAAGGTATTTCAATCATAACAGCAGCAAGACTTCAGAGGTATGCTTTAACTCTGGGGGCTTATCAGTATCGATACAATATCGTCCAAACGCTCTGCATTCTAATGCAGATGCATTCTCTAGACTTCCATTGAAAATGGATTCACAATTAACTACCACAGAAAGATCTACAATATATTTCAGTGAGGTGATAACAGCCAGAGAAATTGCACAGGAGACAGCCAAGGACTCTTTGCTGAGGGAAATACTTGTTTTTGCATGCAAGGGTTGGCCACTAAACACTCCAATACATCTCAAGTCATTCCAAACAAGAGCTCAGGAGTTATCAATTCGAGATGGCTGCTTAGTCTGGGGGGAAAGGGTGGTTATTCTTGAAATTTTACATGCAGGTCATCCTGGCATAGTCCGCATGAAGCAGAAGGCAAGAGGTCATGTATGGTGGACAACCATTGATGAGGATATTGCCCGTTATGTTTCAGGTTGCACTGGTTGTGCACAAGCACAGCGGACTTGCCACATGGTGCCGTACAACCTTGGACCTGGCCTCTATCACCATGGCAGAGAATTCACATAGACTTTGCTGGACCAGTGGAAAATAAAATGTATCTGATTGTGGTAGATGCACATTCTAAATGGCCAGAAGTTCTATTCATTATTTACATTTTTATTTATATTTTTTTGGTCCCCCCTCCCTGCTTGTTAGCTGGCCAGGGAGGGGAGCTATATTATTCCC